AAAAAAAAAAAATACGTGTGTGTGTGTGTGTGTAATACGTGTTATTTTATTCATTCATTTTCTGAACCATTTCAGAGAAAGTTACATAGATCAAGACCCTTCAAGGTGTTCGCTTTTTTGGATTTTTTTTAGAGAGTAGGTCTTGCTCACCCAGGCTGGGGTATAGTAGTACAATACAGCTCACCAAAATCCCCAATTCCTGAGCTCAAGCAATCTTTCTACCTCAGCCTCCACGATGCCTAGCTAATCTGGGTTCTTTGTACAAGGGATCTTACTATGTTGCCCAGGCTGGTCTCTAAGTCCTCACCTCAGCATCCCAAAGCCCTGGGATTATAAGCACGAGCCACTGTGTCGAGCCAGCAAGCACTCTTAAATACTACATTTTCAAAATGCTTCTATATAGTACCTTGCAGAACACAGGTTCAATTACCTTTATGGCTAAAAGCCTTCAAAATATACTCATGGAGGAATCTTGAGTGTTCAAGGAGGAATTGTGATTTGAATGACTTGTTCTAGTATTTAAAAAATAACTCCACAGTTAACAGCACAGTTATAAGTTAAGCAAATCTAGCAGACACTCCAGTCACTTGCTAGGCACAACAGACAACATAACAATAATGGTTCATTACAAAAATAAAAATAGGTCAGGCAAACATATGTAGTCTTAGCACTCTGGGAGGCTGAAGTGGGCAGGATCAAAACCAGCCTGAACATGAGCAGGACCCTGTCTCTACTGCGAAGGTAGAAAAATTAGCCAGCGTGCTAGCACATGCCTATAGTTCTAGCTACTCAGAAGTCTGAGGCAGAAGGATTGCTTGAGCTCAGGAATTTGAGGTTGCTATAAGCTATGATCATCTAACCGCAATCCAGCCTGGGTGACAGAGTGAGATTCTATCTCAAAAAAATCCCACACACACAAAAATAAAAAATAAGTAATATCTTGGCCAATAGTCCAACTCAATTAACTTAGTATGGGAAGCACTTTCTGTAAGTTATCATACTTACCACAGTAAATACTGGGGCTACACTGGCTAATGTGGCTTGAGAGACATCAGAAGTTCTAAACCGATGTATTTCACCTAAAGAATGAATTAAGAGAATTCCTTGTAATCATACAATTGGCTTTCACATACAGCTAAGACACAATTGTCATAGTACGTGGAGGCCTTCAGACTACTTTACTACTTTTTGAGCATTTTTTCTATAGGAAAAAGAAATACTCTTGTTAATTTTAATTTGTAGATGATTACTTTAGGTTTCACAGGGAATGATTTAAAAAAGTAACGGCTCAGGGGAGGAATTAAATAACTTATGGATCTCTTTTCCCTTTCTAATTACTATTGCTATCTCAAGAGATGGATGAACAAATGGATGACACAGTGCTCTGAGATTTAAAAAAAAATGTCTGGCTTTCCTTTTTGCATGATTTAAAAGGCTCTTCATCCACATTACACTGGTAGATATTATGAAACTTACACATTTTACTTTTCCACATAAATACTTCATAATGGATACTTATTCCACTGAACTGGAATGGGGACTCCACCATACTTTAAGGCAAATCTTTATATGAAAATTAGTCTATTTAAAAAATGTGATTAGACTGAGTTGAAGTGAGCTGTGAAATATAATCAACTAAATTTAATGATCAGGCTCGGTGCCATGGCGGTTTTGAACCCAGCTGGGCCTGCTAAACAACAACGACAACCCCAACAACAACAAAAAAATGCCAGGCACTGGGTGCCTGTAGTCCCAGTTGCACCAAAGGCTGAGGCAAGAGAATCAGTAAGCCCAAGAGTTGGAGGTTGATGTAAGCTGTGATGCCACAGCACTAAACGGAAGGCAACATAGTGAGACTCTGTCTCAAAATAAATAAATAAATACATAAATTTAATGATCAACAAATGACACCATTTTATGCTTTCAAAGCAATCACACTGACTAGAGATTGTGTAAATTCACATTTCTGATCTTATTCTTTCCTGCTATATACATGTAATGATTCAAATAATTCGTTAATACCTAAAGTTTCTTCCTTTTACAAAATACACACTATTCCCAGCAGTCCGGGAAGACAATGTGGGTGGATTGCTGGATCTCACGAGTTCAAGACCAGCCTGAGCAAGAGCGAGACTCAGTCTCTAAATAAAGTGAGGCAAGGAGGGGTGGCATCTGTAGCTTAGTGGGTAGGGCGGAGGCCCCATAGACAGAGGGTGGCAGATTTGAACCGGCCCCAGGCAAATTGCAACCAAAATAGCGGGGGTGGGGTGGGGTGTCATGGCTGGCGCCTGTACTCCCAGCTTGGAGGGAGGCTGAGGCAAGAGAATCGCCTAAGCCCAGGAGTTGGAGGTTGCTGTGAGCTGGGAC